ATGCATGTTAGCGTGATTCGTGTAAATCCCATAATTAATTCAAATTAATATCGATCACAAAGTGAAAGGGAACTTCAGACAGAGAAGGCAAGTCCCATTCAGTCCCAAAGTGAAAGGAAAACAACTATGATTATGTGTCCTTATATATTATGTCATAGTATGATTCAAATGTCACCAATATATGTACTTCCCTTGACGTTTGCTGATTAGAACTGCAAACGTAACGAGTCGAGTCGAGTCGAGTCGAGCAATGCATTTATCTAGTCGAGTTCAATTTTTTTTAATTGGTGCTCAAGTTCGGTAAGGCTTGACTTGATAATATCATAAAGGTGCTGGAGACTGGCTCGAATTAAATAGAATGTTACTCGATATTATGTCGAATTTAACTTGACTTGGGGTACTTCAGGTAATTACACACATAATCTAGCGGCTTGTCTAAAAATCGAGCTTACCAAATACAAGTTTCAGTTAAAGCTCACAACCTGCTCGACTCGTATGCAACCTATGCTCGACATGCTTTATCTGAAAATGGACATCAATTATACTCTAATATACTATAATTATCTCAATGATTATAATCACATAAATGGAAGATATAAACCCTGTTATTTTTGTGATGGTCGACATTTCAAAACCAAAATAAATCCATTCAACCAATCATTTTGTCTACTACCAACTGAAACAGCCTTTTTAATTCTTAAAAAAAATAAAATAAAATAAAATAAAATAAAATAAAAGAATGATAATAATACCAAACATGATAAACATCACACCCACACCAATGTATTTATTATCATTCAACACTTACGTTGATGAAACTAAGCTGAAGCGAGCCAGTACGAGTATGGGCCTTTCAAAACTATCATTATTCGAGAAAGGCCCACCAAAATTGACCCATATGGAGCCCAATCAATTATCGCTCTCTGACAAATAAGCCCCATCTTGTACTTATATTACGGAACTGCCACAGGACTTGAAAAATCACGTTGTCGTTTCATCTCCTTTACCGTTTCCCGTTTCCCTCACTTTCTCTTTCTATACATACAACCCAATTGTATGTATATCCATCTTCGAAGTGCACAGTACTTTTATGTATACATACATATATATATATACACAGAGAGAGAGAGGGAGAGATTCAATTTTAGAGAGAGAAAGCGAGGCATTTGGATGGGGACTTCAGGGCCTGGGCAGAGCAGCTACGATCTGTCGTTCAAGGTCTTGCTCGTCGGAGATTCGGCCGTCGGGAAGAGCAGCTTGCTCGTCACTTTCATTTCTAATGTCGTTGAAGATCTTTCGCCCACCATAGGTATCAATTCCGCTTTTTGATGTATCTCTGTGTGCTGCGAGCTCTGGAAATTTTGGGCGAGTTTTTCAATCTTTAAAGTTGGTAGCTTTATTAAATGTTGAGAAGTAAATCATTCGAGGTTTGATGGTGTATTGTGTTGAATTTGATCCTAGATTTGATGTTTGTTGTATGTGTTTTGCTTTGGAAGTTGGTGTACAGTGGATAATATTAGGAAATTTGAATCTGTAAATCTGAAAGTACAAGTTTGTTTCATTGTTTGTTTGGTGGTCCTTGTATCTTATGTGGGATGTTGAGTAATTTTGTCATTTGATTGGTTATGACTTGTGACTCAGTTTAAGTTATTGTGACTTTTGATTGTATATATGTTTTCTTCTCCCTTTCTTCTTGATTATGATATAGCTCTAACTAGAGGCCATACTTCTTCAACACATACGCATGCTTTCCGAACTGAAATATCATACTCTAAACCATCATCATAAGCAGAAGTGTGATATTTCGTAGCATAAGAATGCATTTTTGTTAGAAAAAAGAATGATTGGTCAACCCACCTAACGGTTAAGCAGTCTAGTACAAGAATTTGTGCTTGCTTTTAGGCTAATCTCATTAGTTACTCCAAATGAATGAGTGTATGAATGAATGGATAAACTTATGATTCGATATGTAGCTGGTATAATAAATGAAGCAGAAGCCACTTCATCATTTGTCTTGTTATATTTTTCCTAGTAGAATTATAGATATTAGGCATCTTAATATACCATGAATGTTTTCTAATAGCTTTATTAAGATATTGGACCTTGTGTTTACTTGCTGGTGCATGGTAAACTTTGAAAATTTAAAAGAGCAGTAAGATTCATCTGAAATGAAATTCTCTTTCTTTTCGTCTCTTCTTCCCCTCATTCAATTTCTAGGTGTGGATTTTAAAATCAAGTTTTTGACTGTTGGCGAGAAAAAGTTGAAGCTGACAATATGGGACACAGGTACCACTATCGACAGTCTTCATTTTGATTCAATATTCTAAAGATTGATTTACTCGATTTTCATTTTACTTGATCATGATTTGTCTGTTATTTTTTGTTGACAGCAAGTTTTTCATGTTTCTTGCAGCTGGACAAGAGAGGTTCAGGACATTAACAAGCTCATACTACAGAGGCGCACAAGGGATCATCCTTGGTAAGCATGAAAATTACAAAAAATAATTCTATGTTTCACACAATTGATATGTATTGAAAACTTGTTGATTAGTGGACCGCTGGTTCATCTTCTTGTAACAAGCTCATACTCGAGAAATAGTGGACCGCTGGTTCATCTTCTTGTAAATTATTACAACAGTCCTAACAAATGAAATGAATATAGAAGTCTCATGCTATATTCATTGATCAACTTATTTCTTTTTCTTCTTCTGTTCTTTTTTTTTTCTCCTTTTCTGTGTGTAGTTTATGATGTAACAAGGAGAGATACATTTACAAACTTATCTGATGTATGGGCGAAAGAATTGGAACTGTATTCCACCCATGAGGATTGTGTCAAGATGCTTGTGGGGAACAAAGTTGATAAAGTTAGTACCCACTTTCCTCTTGGTGTAATAGCAACCTACTTTTGTGTGATATTTATGTATCATATATGATTTCATCTCTATTGCCTCTTGGATTTGGCTGGTCTCTTATATTCAAAATGAAGTAAACCACAAACTTCATGTGGGCTACAAATAGAGTCTCAAGGCTATTTATTCGAACTAAGTTAATTGAGTCTCTCTTGTTGTGTTAAATTTTGTAGCTCGTGTTTGGTATTTGCATAAACAAATGATCTAATTCCTTTATTTTGGTAAAATGATCACCATTCAGTTCTAACAATGATGTATGTTTACACTACACTCTACTTTTACAGGAATCCGAAAGAGTTGTGAGTAGGGAAGAAGGGATGACCCTAGCAAACGAGCTTGGATGTCTATTCTTCGAGTCTAGTGCAAAAACTCGAAAAAATGTTGAACGGTGTTTTGAAGAGCTAGCACTAAAGGTAGATATGAATGCATCACTATCGATTTTATCAACGATTAGTCCAATTCAGTCTTCTCTTTCGAAATTGAAAACCATTTTTGTTCAGATTATGGAAGTACCAAGACTTCTTGAGGAAGGGTCAAATGTGAAGAGACATATCCTAAAACAGAAACAAGAACATCATCCGGCTCCTAGTGGTGGAGGTTGTTGCTCGTAGAGTGTTCTCAATAAATGAATGGCTCGATTGTCAAACTGACGGTCAAAATGTGTAAATGGTGCGGTTCTCTTACTATTCTCATCCCTTTTGCTTTTGTTGTGCTTGGTGAGTGTCAAATGAGCTGCTCTTTTTTTAAAGATATTGTAGCTCGTGTGAGGTTTTGTTGGCTGGCGTGATTGACCATTTTTACATCTCTGTTGCTGGGTTTGATTTGTTTCCATGCCTCTTGTGTCCTCAATGATTCAGGGTGTTTTGTAATTTTTTTTCCTCAAATCCAATTTTGGTTTGTAGAGTTGTAATTTTGAGAATTTGTTTCCACTGCTAAAACAATATATAATGTTTGATCTGAAGAATTACACAGATGGGCTATTTTGGTATGAGTGAGCAACTGTGTTGTTCAGTGCTAAACCTCATTGATCCAAAAAAATACTAAAAAAAATGTAAATATACATGTATATATGTGTGTGTGCGCGCGCGCATCCTACACTGAAGAGCGATACCAAACCGAAATCGAAACTTCCGAAATCGAATCGGAAGTTTTGTACACTAAGACTAAAATGTTGAAGATTTTTCACTTAACCACGAACACGTTTCATTTCACTTAAACCTTGAAATATAGAAGATTTTTCAGTACAACATGAAACAAAATGTTGAATCAAAGTAAATTTTCTATTACACATGTGATTGAGGTAAAAAAAATAAAAAAAAAAAAAAATAAAATAAAATAAAAAATCTCAAAGCAATTTAGTAATTGATCAAAAATTATTTAGAAAATAACTTATTCCCTTTTTCTCCTTATATTTTAATTCACCCCTGGCCCATAAAGGTAAATATCTCTGCTGTTCTTTGCCTGCAGTGGCCTTGCATTCCTCTCTGCATACTGCCAAATCCATTTTTTTATTTTTTATTTTCAAATCTTGTTAATCTAAATGGCAAATACATGAAATATAATTAATTTTATTTTATTTTTTTTAAATAAAGAAAAAAATCTAAGAATCACAATAACTTACATCATGAACAGCTTCTCTAAGCAAATTAACTTGGTGTCTAGAAACAGTTTTCACCTGGAAATAATTCAACAAAATTAAATAAATACTAATTTAAAACTAAATCATTGTACTTTTTTGTCAGTTAATTTTAAACTGTATGTGCAAAATTAGTGAAATTTAACATGGAATTATATTATTGGGAGATTCTACAGTCCCGTTACGAAACCATTCCGTCGGGATTTGTAATCGTTAGATCAACTGTCCACGACGCTTGATGATCTAACGATTCTAAATCCCGACAAAATGATATCTGTAACCGAATTGTAGCATTTCTCTATTTTATTTACCTTTTTATTGATGGTCCAAATAACACCCTCAGTACAAGGAGGAACAGTAAGTGACCCCTGGTATCTAAAATACTTTTTACTGCGACTGTTAATTTTTGCAGGGTCAACCATTCCCAGTGGACTCTCTCTGTGCTGCTCGTCCATTATTGAAGATACATTTCTCACTATCTGCGATGTGTGACACATTTGCCAAAATTAACACAATATCTATAAGAGACAATTTAATTTCTTTAATGAAAATTCATATTTATGCAATGAAATATTATTCCATTTATTTACTTTGTCGACGTACGTTTAGATGTACGAGAATATATCTATTTCTCTAATTTTAGTAATGTCGCCGATAGATAGTTAGACACGACTAACGATCAGATACAAATGTTGCTGTAAGGCTGTCTAATCGTTAGATATTCATAATTTCTTACGAAAACTGCACTTATGCTATTACTTATAAGACTTTTGAGTACGAAGATATGTAAAGTTATTTTAACAGAATGGTCATCTAATTTTAGGCGACCTAATAGGGGACTAACCGATGGTTAGACAACGTAAACTAAACCTACTTTCAATTTGCAATTTCGCAATCTAATAATTAAAATAAGCAAAATTATAACAGTTCATAATATGAATATGCATTTTTTTTATTTTAAATAAATAACGGGTTAATCTATTTAATGGTTAGTGACACTCACATAATAATAATATATTAATGGAAGATGTTACAGTCTCGTTACGGAACTATTTTGTCGGGATTTGTAACCGTTGGATCAATTATCTCTGACGGTTACATGATAATCTAAAAGTTACAAATTCCGATGGAATAGTTCCGTAACGGGAACTTAGCATTTCCCTGTATTAATATGTGATATTCTTTTCATTACCATGGAGAGAAATTTGTCAGGTTTGCCAATCTTGTAAAGCATTCCAAGCACTGATATATTATTTTTCACTTGAAGATCTGTGCTTACGTGTACCAAGTGCAGCTCCATGTCATACCTGTGACAAAATTTCATTAATTCATATTAATAATTCATAATATAATGTTATATATATTAATTTTCTCATTTCTCAATTAATCA